CCAGAGGAGTGTAGCCAGCCCCGCCGACAGGTACACAAGGTGAGCCCTCAGCAACCCCACGGTTATCGGAGTACCCCCTCCGTCAGTCGGCAGTCCAGGGCACTGTGTGTCCGAGTGGATTGCAACGCGATTTTGCGAACCCCACCCCACCACAGTGGTGATGTTTAAGCAGCGATTTGTAACTAGTTCGACGATGCGCCGACGCCTACGGAGGACTGCGGAGTAGATTGGGTTCACCATGCTCCTGTACGACGCACATATAATTAGCAAACACACGAACATACTTCATGGAGATCATCGAACCTCTGCCGCTCCTGCATTTGCTGTCCCGTACCCGGGAATACAAGTGGTGTTCTAGACTGCTGTCCGCTGGGATCAGCCCCTGGCCACGCTGAGGCAAACACTCCTACTGCTCCCGCTCGTGCCTACCGTGCAGCTTTGCTCTACGGCCGGTACCGTCACCGACGACTTGATGAACGCAAGGTCCCTCAGAAGAGGTGGACACCCCAACCTAGAGTCGTCAAGACGGGAGGCACGGAGCAATCTTGCACCTGAGTGTGGTGACGAGACGAAGAGGTGTCACCAAGATGAAGATCAGAGTATATTTAGTACAGTAGTTACGGTATTTAGTCTCACTCATACTAATTTATGTGAGGTGCTGCAGATTTTGCTCACCTAAATTATTATGAGTGTGGTTAATTATGCACTCAGACTATTTACGGTGCGGTAGAATTAGTCACACGTAGACTAATTAATGTCTCACCCTAATTAGTCACACTAGTTCAGGATTGTTGAGCAGCTGGTCTGGATATTTTGTTTGTTTTGTTTTATTTGCCATATTCAACGGAACCGCTTGTCCAGCAAATTGATCTGGGAACTTCTTGATGATTTCGTGAAGGTAGCTGAATAGCTGTTCAGTTCTCCATACACCATTAACATCCAGCTAGAGTCCACATCGAAACATGGCTTTCCGAGCGTAGTTCATATTATTTTTGTCCGTTTGTGAGTTGACTTGGCGTACTGCTTTAGTAGTTAGGGACAGGAAAAACCGCTTTCCTGGGTTCTTAAGGCTTCCTGACCAGGTTCCATCGGACCTCTGTTTGTTTTGCCATGCCTCCTCTTCAATCAACTCGATCTTTTTCTCATTCCACTTCGACGCCACTCATCCTTTATCTTTGCGATAACGAATGAGTCCGCCGGCTGGCAGAGATCCATTGCGTTTGCTGGAAAAAAGGTTAAAGAAGCGTTTAACTTCTGAAGCTCTTCAGCACACTTGTCTTCCTTGAGGCGACTTGAGCAGTTGTCTAGGAACATAGTCTTCTTACGACCTAATCGATTCGGCTTTTGAGCTCGAGGCTCTTTCACATACTCGCAAAAGAGTCGTTTGTCCATCCAGCCCTTTGGCCCTGTACGATAGCACACACCTTCCACGTCATCCTTAACTCCACGAATAGGATAACTACGGTCTACGTTCGTAAAAGTCATCATCGGTGGCAATATGCATGCACTTGGTCCACTGCTGATTCGCACGACCATGTCATTCCATTCCCTCCGGATACAACATCCGCATATTTTACCTGTTTTTCGCCACCGAAACCGAGAGTCTCGCTGTCGTCAAAATCTACAACGAAATGAATTTCATCGATGTTTTCAATCGCATTCTCGTCATACAAACCGCTCTCAAATCCACGCATCAACTTGCCAAGGTGATAGGCCACTTGCTTCTTAATATTTTCAACCTTCTGAGGGCTCACCAGTCGTTTACCTGTTGCCTCACGAAGTACTATGTTGTTGTTCTCTAAAAAGGTTTGCACCCAGCGTGAAGTGATCTTTGTTGACAGCTCAGCCCCGTTCTCATCTGCCTTGGGAGCTTGTGGATCCTGGAGGATACGCTTAGCAACTTGACGTAGCAGCGATGCGTCGAACTTCAACCCCAATTTACGTAATCGATCAAACTCGCTAAGCAACAATGGATAGATCCAGAGCACCCATTTGCTCCGAGGACGACATCGACCAGACAAAGCCTTGGGGTTCACTCGCTTTTTTCCGTCTGATCGTAAACTCGGCACCAATACCGAACCCCGGAGTGGCGCTTGAAGTTGCTCTCGATTCTTCCACCAGGACATCGCTTTGCAAAGGTTAGCATTGCGAGTAGACGAGTTAAAAATTATCAGGAAATTGATCTACAGCTCGCGCGAACATGTTCTTCGCTCCACTTGCTTTTTCATATTCTTCCATCCAGGAGATGACACGACGTCGATTCTGGATGGTGGTAACCTGTTGTGACGCTCGAGATGATGTTGACATCGGCAGCTCAGTCACGTTGGCCACATTGGAATTAGAGATTATGTCGTCTTCCGAGCTCTCGTCTGAGCCGACATCGTTGGCAGCATCCTTCGAAGAGATCGCATCTTTATTTCCCTGAAGCGCGAAAGCTTTGAGGATAGGAGGAGCTGATATAGCTTGAGGCTTGCCTGAATCACAGTCTGGATAGACAACATGCTGTCCAAAGCCCTCTAGTCCGACAGGCTTCCCACAAAATGGGTGCATATGAACAGAGCCGATTGGGCAGACGTGAATAGGACCAACAAGGTCACCACAGCCACCACACGGGGCAAGTTGCGCTGAGTTGGAGCTCATCAAAAGACCGGTTTAAGAGGGAAAAGGTGCGTTGGTGTGTTGGAAGAATTTCTGGAATGAGAATAGCCCACAGTAGCCTCCAAGAGACGCAGCCCCATAAAATTAACATTTCGAATTATAAGATATTAAATGCTCTTCAAATAAGCTTAAGAAAACTGCATAGTTATTATTGTTATTAAAAAGTATAATTCATATCATTAAAAAATATATATAACCCGCTGCTTCGTAGTGTGCCGTGTTGAGGGTAAGTGGGAACCCACTTTTATTAAATGACCTGTTATTGCATCACCAGTAAAACGCGAGCACCGTCCGTAGCTGCGGAGGGACTCTAACTCACGCCAGGATTGTAAACCGGGCGAGTCTTTTCCACTGCGCCAATTCGAATACCCGAATAGGGTGATACTAACTATGAACTTTGACTAATTTTGAACACGACATTTTCTTGCTCACGGTAATTAGTCTCACCTTCGAACGGTGTGACTAATTACGAACTGTGACTATTTATTCACACAGACTAATTACCGTAGGCAGTGTAGTCTAGTAGTGTCCTACTATTAGATTTTGTGTGACGGGCTGCCGTCACACAGTTGCCATCGCGTTGCGCGATGGCCAATCAGGCCCCGAGTGCGTATCACTGGCTAGGACGGCCTCGCGTCTCGAGGCCGTCTCGTCAATCAATAAAATAGAGTTAAACTTACCTTCCTCTTCAGGGTACGTCAGTAACGGGCCAGGAAGCCCGTTACACCTGGTAGCACTTCGTACTCCGTCCGAAGACCAAGATGAACGACGCGTCGATGCCGAACGCGCCCGTCACTTCGCTGGAGCATGCCAGTTTTCCCCACCTTTCAGCGATAGAGTGGGAGGCGCTGCATCACCTCGCTGCGGTGTCTGGCGACGGCGTCATTATGACGCTGCTGACAGCGGGCACTGAGGCGTAGCAACGCCTGGCTGCCCAGGAGTTCATGGCGCGTGAACTCGTTGACCTTCGTCAGCGAGTGTCGACTCCCACGCAGACCAAGAACAACACCGACATCGTCAAGCTCGATGTCTCGACCTACAGTGGCGAAGGCGAGAATCGCCTTCATCTCAAGCGCTGGTTCTGCGAGGTGGACATCGCAATTGAAGCTCGGCAGCTGTCTACCGAGCTCGCGCGCACGCGCTTTCTCCTATTCAAGTTGACGGGGAAGGCGAAGGATTGGGCACTCGGCAAGCTGGTGGCCGACGCCTCCTGCTTCCCGACTATGGACTCCATGAAAACGGACGTGCGCCTCGCGTTCGAGCCGCCGCCAGACGAGACCGCCCAGAGAACAGCTTTCCTGTCCCTGCGCCAAGGGACCATGTCGATGCTCGAGTACATCCAGCGCGCGCGTCACCTCGTATCGTGCATCACATCTCATCCGATAGACATGACGACCCAAGCTCATGTCTTCGTGTCCGGTATGAACGCTGGCTACCAGCGTTTCTACTTGACCCGTAAGACCCCATCGACTCTAGAAGAGGCCTTCGCCGTTGCCCTCCGCGAAGACTATACTGTGATGGCATCGCAAGCGTTCGATGCCCTTCGCTCCACATCGACGGTCACCCCTGGCCCCGAGCCGATGGAAGTTGACGCCATTCAGCACTTCAATAACCGACCGGCTGCGACTGCGCCACCACGATTCCAGTCGTCACCGCTCCCCAGCCGACCAATGAGATGTTTTCGGTGCCGAAAGCTCGGTCACCGAGCGGCGGTGTGCCGCGCGCCGGCTCCGGTCCTCGCTAATGTCACGGTGGAGACTGAAGTCGCCGTGACTGGCCAACCAAAAAATGGCGACAGCCAGTAGGGGCGGGGTGCCCTACTGGCCGTGGAAGGAGCGATGGCTCTCTGGTGGCAGAGCCTCCTCCCAGCCGCGGCGCTCTACGACCTTCACGTACGAGTTTGACGGATTCCGAAGCTCCGAAGAATTCCTAGTGATCGAGCTGAGCGGCTCGTTCGACTGCGTTTTTGGCATCCCATGGCTTGCCCGTCACCAGCCTGAGATTAACTGGCTGACTGGCTCGGTCCGCCCACGTGACATCGACGTGACTGCCGTACTGGCGTTCTTGCGCGGAACGCCAAATCGATGGCCACATGTTACAGGCATGGACTCCGACTCCATGACCCATGCCGTACCCGAAGTAGGCGATGGCCCTTCGTGTGCGGCGTGTGAGTACGCATCATGCGCCAGTATTGAGCAGGTGGCTCAAGACGTGTCTGACGTGGTCGAGCATGGGTTCCCACGTCCCGATGAGCAGCGGCTCTCGGCAGCAGACAACAACGTGGTTGAGCAGAGGTTCCCACGCCCGGATGAGCAGCGGCTCTCCGTTGAGAACGAACAAGAACATGTGGTTGAGCGTGGCCTCCCACGTGCGGTCGAGCAGGGGCTCCCGCATGTGGTCGAGCAGGAGCTCCCTGATGAAGTTGACGCCGATGTCGTGTTCCGGCGCCTGAGCACAGCAGACTTGGTCGAGCGTGGCCTCCCGCCGCCTGCTACGGACGCGTTCGTCCGTCCTGTTCGTCGCCGTGGTCGCCGTCAGCCCCGGCGACCCCGTGCTCTCCCGTGCGAGTCAGACGCTTTTGACTCCGAAGTTATCTCCGTCCTGATGGGGGATGACGCGGCGAGAAGCCCGCGTAAGCTCGACATCGAGGTCGCACGCCCTCCGTGCGACGCGTCTGAGATCACCAAGTTACCCGGCCTGTCGTGGAAACACTTCCTCCACGACTTGAAGCATGGTGAGATCGAGCAAGTTTGCATGATCGTCACGGATACCACCGCGACTATTGCAACTGTCGGTGCTGATGCTAACGCTGGGGACCCAGTATCCGACGCCCGGGAACGCCCGAAAGGCGCTGAGCCCAAGTCCGCCCGCGAAGCCCGCTATTTGGCCCAATCGTTACCGGCACTCGAAGCTGCCGGCAACCCGGTTGCTCCGCTGGTTCGCGAGTTCATTCACATCTTCCCCGACAAGGTCCCAGCGGAACCCCCTCCCGATCGTGGCGTCAGACACGAGATTGACCTCGTGCCCGGTGCGAAGTACTGCGTGACGCGCCAGTGGCCGCTTCCCTGTGATCAAGTCGAAGCGATTGACGCATTCTTTGAGAGTCGCCGGCAAGCCGGCCACGTCCGCGAAAGCCTCTCACCGCATTCCAGCCCGACATTCTGCGTGAAGAAGGCGACGGGCGGATGGCGCATCGTACACGCCTTCAACAAGCTCAATGACGCCACTATTCCGGCGCAGACGCCGATCCCGCGGAAGGACATGATACTTGACACCATGTCTGGCAGCACTATCTACAGTGCTATCGACCTCATGGACGGCTTCTACCAAATCCTAATGCGAGAAGACGACGTGCCGCTGACCGCGGTCAGCACGCCCAGTGGAATAATGTGGGAATGGCTAGTGATGCCGCAGGGGCTCAAGAACGCCCCTGCCACGTTCAATCGCATGGTGTCTAATCTATTTCGTCCGTATCGAGACTTCGCACCCAGCTACTTCGACGACATCTTTATTCACAGTCGTGCCGAGCACGGCACTACAGATGTCGACGTCCACCTTCGCAAAGTGTTCGAGGTGATGCGAGAAAACAAGCTGTACGCCAATCTGAAGAAGTGTATTTTCTGCGCTCCCGAGATCCCCGTACTCGGGAGCTACGTCAACAAGGCCGGCGCCCGCGCCGACCCGGAGAAGATCGCAGCGATCTGCGCTTGGCCGACTCCGCAGGACCAGAAACAACTCCAGCAGTGGCTCGGGCTCGCCACCTATCTTCACCACTACTCAAAGAACTTCGCCTCGACTATCCGGCCGCTGTCGCAACTCCTGAAAGCGGACGCCACGTGGTCGTGACGCCCCGAGCACCAAGCGGCCTTCGACGCGGTGAAGATCAGCTTGTCCTCCGTGCCCGTTTTGATGCTCCCGGATCGCTCGAAACCTTTCCATGTGGTGTGCGACGCGAGTGACTTTGCGATCGGCTGCGCTTTGATCAACAACGCGGTGCACGCGTCGACTGGCTTGACCCCGTTCTTCATCAACTTCGATCGCCACCCCCGTATACCAGCACTCCTCGGACTGGAGCACTCTTCCGCCGTCTCCCCTGCTCCCGCAACCGACGACGCGGCAACAACTGCGTCATCCGATCGGGCAACCTCATCACGCGCGGCTGTGACTCCGGCGTACGTTGACAGTCGTGAAGACGCTCACGACACTGCTGCACCACTGCTACACGCTGTCACCACGCGACATGGTGCCAAGACTGCTACGCAAGGAGTGCGTACACACGCCGCCACGAGGGCCGCGCTGAGTGCAGACGATGCAGCTCAGGGACAAACGCCGCGATCGAGTGCCGCCACGAGGACGACACCACCTGACATTGCCGCCTGGACTTCGCGGACGTTGATCGTCCCAAGACAACGTCGTGCCGTTGAATACCAGGACGTGCCGGGCGCAGCCCGTGCTGCTGCGCCGCTTCCCGCGAACTTCGACCCACTTCCGGTGTCACAGCCTCGTGACGCTGTGGCTGTCAACGACTTCCTGACCCAGCGCGACTCAATCGTCCGATTCGTTCGCGACACCATAGCAGCAGCAGTGGACCGCCAAAAGGAATTTGCTGATCGACGCGGCCGCACGAATCGAGAGATGTTTGTCGTCGGCGACCGCGTCCTACTCTCTACGGCCGGCATACAACCTACAGCTGTGACGAATTTGGGTACAAGCAAGCTTGCGCCACGATTTATTGGTCCGTTCAAAGTTACGAAGGTACTCGGGGATGCATACACACTTCAAGTGCCTACCGCTATTCGCCTGCATCCTACCTTCTACGTCGGTCGACTCCGCCGATACCACCCGGCGGATATCCCTAGCGGCGCTGTTCCCAGCCAGCGCCCCAATCCCGATCACGTTCACGACGCTCCGGCCCGCGCGCTCCCAACCGCCGACGCAGTTCCTCCAGATCGCGTTCCAGCCGCTCCAACCGCTCCCAGTCCCGGCGGCGTTGACGCTCCGCCTCCGCCCAGCGCTCGTGCGGATCGGTTTCTGAGCGACGGCCCTCCGCCGCTTGTGGATAGCGCGGGCCACGTTCGTCATATCGTGGAGGCGATCTTGGAGCACGACGATCGTCGCGCCGCTCTTCGTCGTACACAGCCTGGCCGCGGTGCTCGTACCCGCGGCGATCGCGTTCTCCCACATCGGCAGTACCTTGTCCGCTGGCTCGGGCCCATGGAAGATAGTTGGGAGCCCCGCGAGGTGCTCCTCCAAGACGTTCCGGATTGCGTGGCGGCGTATGAGGCAAGCCTGCCAGGCGGCGCGGCGGCGCGCCGCGCCTAGTTTCACTCAGCGCGCGCTGGTACCGCCCGATTACTTGGTTTTCAGTGGGGGAGAGAGGGGCAGCGTCAAGGAAGCGCTGCCATGCTGCAGGACTTGGCCGTGAGAGCCTGTACTCATGACAGCGCGCACAGCCTTCGTTGTAGTGTACGAAGCAACAATTTTGATCGGCTCCCCACGACAGCTCGCATACTTGCGCTGCGAGCGCACTGAGTGACAGATTGGCGTGGTCCGCCTCGCGCTGCTCCAGCTTCCGCCTGAACTCGTCCGCACCTTCCGTGTTCCAGCGCTCCACGAACGCAGTCCAAGCGCGGTCCAGCGACTGCGGGGTCACGTTGGCGGACACCGTGGCAGGCTTGCTACGCGTCGCCCTCCACTGGCGGAACAACTCCCGCATCTCAGCATCCCCTGGCGAGTTTGTCACGGCGCTGCAGTCATACAGCGCCCAGCGTTCTAGTACCTCCTCGAACGTGGACAGTCGGTCGCCATCCGTCGCCTGCGCCGCTCCCCGCTCTGCTCCCGCCATGTGCTCCATCCTGGTGCCAGCTTTCCGGCAAGATCCAAACTGAAGACTCCGTGCATGTTTCATCTCAAGTGAGGGGTGGTGTGACGGGCTGCCGTCACACAGTTGCCATCGCGTTGCGCAATGGCCAATCAGGCCCCGAGTGCGTATCACTGGCTAGGACGGCCTCGCGTCTCGAGGCCGTCTCGTCAATCAATAAAACAGAGTTAAACTTACCTTCCTCTTCAGTGTACGTCAGTAACGGGCCAGGAAGCCCGTTACAGTTGGGATCGGTTCCACTAGTTAGCGTGTACACCAAATGAGAAATGGAAAAGTGATTAAATTTGTTTAGCTAGCTTCGTTCTCTCTTTCTCTCTTCCTTCAACTAAACTCGAGTAACTATCCGTTAACATGCAAAGGCCCGCAGCTGCCTGCTTCTTAACCCTTCTTGGTCTCACGATGTACGGGTCCCAACTTGATCTTCAACCTCCTTGATCGTCTTGTCTAAATGTGCATCCCAACACCTACAACATGCAGACCTAGTAGGAGGGAATGCGCGGTGGCGTCCTCCCCTCACTCGTACATTTTCCCTGCCTTTCGCAAGACGACGAAAGAAGAAGAAGAACAGCAAGAAACAAGTTGTGTTTAGCTTTATTGCCACTGTTCTTATCGCTACTACCGTACCGCGTCTACCTATACGAGTCCTCCTAAGATCAATCCGTTGCCTGGCTGACCCCGTCTGGAGAAGGCGTACGGCATTGCCCCCTTCGGCCGCAGAATTAAAAAGTGATTGAGCTTTTGAGGTACCTTCAAGTTATTAAGTCACTAGAGTGTGAGTGAGTGTGACATACGCAGGAATGAAGGTCATCATAAAACATACAAACTTCAAGGAAAAAAATGATAAGATGGCTACATGACATAACTCTAGGAATAGGGAAATCTATTAACACGAAATCTACGCCTCCGAGTCGGATATGTGCGCCTAGGCCTTGACATATCTGCTGCAAATAAGTCGGTCAGTTATGTGATATTTGGAGGGCGTCCACTGCAACATGTTACGATCTTGTGGTTCAAGCCGCTTGGACACGGACCTGGTAACCCCGTGTACCATCAAGATCGACGGCACCAAGACGCGACGGACTAGGCTGACCCTTCGCGTTTACGACATCACCACCAGATCACTGCGGTCATGGTACCCCTCGAGTTCAAGACAACTACCAAGGCGCCTGGACATCGCGAACCCCCGCGTTCAAGCAGCTTCCACCACAGCACGGAGGGCCTGGTGACCCCACATGTTTAATAAAGGGTTTAATGCCGCCGAATCGACGAGAAATACCATAGCAATTGCGACCTTTCATAAATTACCGCCGCGTATCGGCGGCGCTCGGCTAGTGCATGCATCCAAAAAAAAGCACAGTCGAGACACCGAGAATGTTCCCAACTCCTTTTCCTAATGAACCAGCTTGAAGGAAAGGTGACACCATATCTCTGGTATTAAGAATCGACAAATCATAACACATCCTCCCTACGATTGCACCGTCACAGCGTGCTAAGCTCTTACAAGTTCTTCGTTGAAACAATATGTCGGTTCTTCGATGTGCAGCGAACCTCTGCAATCCAGCTAGAAACGTAGAGAACTCGCGACGACGAAACGGCAGATCGAGCAGAAGTAGCAAAGTCTCATGCGCGTAACCGGCACCCGTCACAACAACAACTACGGTCCTTGACGGTCCAAGACATGTAACACAAGCTATCCACTGCGTACACAAATCTTTGAGCGCTGGGATATCACCACCAATCAGATCCGATACTACTTCGTTGAGATCTTCATTACATGATCCTTCTTCGGTTAACCAGATCTTCAGAAAACGTCGCACTTGAGCAGGAAGCATCAAACGATACGAATCCAAATTCATGGACTGCGCTAGGAATCCATCCGGGAACAGGCGACCGCCATGATCAAGCAACAGTCGCACTTTCTCGTTACGATCTTGAAGAGAAATGGTGTTGCTGCATTCGAAGCCACTCTCTGTCGAACTCAAAGTGGTACTCGCGATATACAGACTCGTCACGTCGGACCCGTTCGGAACGTTCAGTGGGTTCGTTCCACCAAGTTGCTCGAATTCCTCCAGGTCACCGAACACCCTCGTGAGGCATAGCAGCAGCGTCTCTACTTCTCGAGCGGAGCCGTACGCACTAGCGTAATGCGCAGACGTCGCTCCCTGCGTCGTAGTAGCTATCAGTGTATCACCGTTCGGACCCAAGTCAGATATCAACTCCATGACAGCTGGCAAGATAGCTCGGTGCATCGCCGTCTCACCCTTTTCATTGCACACCATCAGAGGCGCATATCCGTTATCTACGACGAAGCGAACAATTGATTCAGCTTGGACGTCGACTGCTTGCAGCAACACCCAGCCAGCGAAGTCTTGTCGTTGAGATGTGGCTACCCACTGGTGGTGGTTTAATAACAACTGCAAAATGTTTAGGTTAGCGCGTCGTAGCATGAGTCGAATAGGAGTGATACCATCCGTGTCTGGTACATCGATGCTCGCACCGTGACTACCGTGACTGAGAATCAAATCCGTCACAACGAGCTCAGCTTCTTCGATACAGTAATGCAGCGGGGTCTTGCCGTTCTGTCAACATCACGTGGTTAGTCAGCGCAGAAAAAAAACACATCTGGTCGAACTTGTCTGTTAGCTTACTTTATCCTGCGTGTCTGCGTTTACCCCAGTGTCCAGTAACAGCTTGGCAATTTCGTACGATCCATCGCTCGTGGCACAATGTAGTGCTGTCTTGCCGTCCTACATATCGGTTCAAAATAAATATTGTCTAGCCCTTTCAACAATTCATTCGTTTCATCTCTTACCTGACTTTGCGCATTTACATTAGCATCAAAGCGAAGAAGCAATTTCATCGCCATGATCACTTTCTTCTGCTGTTTATTCTCTTCTTCGCGGCACTATCGAAAGCAAAGACGCAGATTAAGATTGTGAGAGGGATCTTATCGACTAATGCGCCGGGAAACTGTCACTTACGTCGACAATGAGGTTGCGGCGCACCGCCTGACCGCCTCGGAAGACACAGCGCGTGGTCATAATACTAAGTCGCAAGATTGTCACCATCATGGGCGTCAAGCCATTGTCGTCGCGTGGATCTGGATGCTGGCCGAGTTCCAGTAAGAATTCCATGACCACTGAGTCCACTTTCCACGTCGCCGTGTGAAGAGCCGAGGCGCCCAGCGTGCTCAGGCAGAAACCGCCCCAGCTACAGAATCGAGTTTGAAGCTCTGACACGTTGGACAGCTTTACAGCCTACAGCGTGGACGTGTTAGCGGAAATGCGCGTAATAACGGGGTGTCTTGTCGAGCAATCTCGGCCACTAAATCAGATCTCGGCATATTTAGCATATCCCGGTGTACGTGTACAATACCTACTGCAGATCGAGCCACTCGGGACTCCGCTTCAAGAGCTCGCGCATAGTGGCCACGTCACTCCGCGCACTGGCAGTTAGCCAGACTGCGTGCACATCGGACAGCTTGGGCAAAGGTGGTAACGCCAATTCTAGAACACTTGCTGCCATAGTATACTCCAAGCTATTATAGAGTCAAAGTATGTGCGAAAGAAAGAGAAGGCAGAGAACCCAGTCAGCAATAGGCGCTTGATCCGCTCAGCATTATGTAAAAGGCAGTCGTTGTTTATATTCAGGGAAGGGACGATCCCAATGTTACGGTTTTACTTCATTCCTCTCACTATTTTTACAAGTACTAAAGTTAATATGTACGGGTACCCATAAAAGATGATTCCCAGCGACAGTAGCTACATGTAATACACTATCATATCCTTTGTTGAAAAGGAGAAAAGAAAGCTTGGGTAAAATACAGCCATCGCTCAAGTGGGCTGTTAAGGAATCCGGGGTAATTGTAACCAGTGATTAAACAGGCATAGTAAAGTAAATTTGTGCTAAATAATAGTTATATTTAACCTCCAAAATTTCAAGTGTGAACGGGTATTTGCTGTGGAAACTTCCACAATTTCCACGGAAATGTAATATTGGGTGCTGAGACAACTCTGCCAGAATTTCGGTTCTCGACCTCGCAATTCGAGAACCGAAATCATTCTGCGTAATACTGTCTGAAAAATGTCTACAGCAATTTCGCGATGAATCAACTTCGCTTTCGAGCACGTCAGTCTCGATTCCGCCAGCTGCT